CAGCATCTCCAAGCTGCTCTGTGGAGTCACATTTCTTCCTAAAACCTACTGTAAGCATTTTCTGTAGGGTAAATAATTCATTAATAAATTCCCCCCTTTTTGTCCATCTTAAATATATATTTTTCCATCACTTTAGAAGGATATTTCATTTGATATAGAGTCCAATGATGTAAGTTTTCATTGCAAGTGTTATAAAGCTTCACTTAATTTTTTAGCTTGGACATCTGCTAACAATCTAACTGCTCTTCCTTGAAAGGAGGTTGGCTCCATTGCATATTTGTCCTCAGTATGTTACATTTTCACTCTAATGTGCCAAAGTAGCTATTTAACTTATATCATGCAAAACTACCATAACAATTTAGTGTGTATTCTCCATGGGATGTTTACATGTAGTCTGGGCAGTTGAATTTAATTTGCATTCTCATGAGCTCTCCTCAGGTTATCTTCTTCATGACAATGAGAATATTATATAATGTACTTCTTTAACTCTTATACTACATATTTATACAGTATTTTTTTATATTAATGTAGCCATATCTTCTCTTTTTGAAAAAAAGATACTCATTATGTACATAGAATATCCTTTTCCATCATTCACTTTTAGCTTAGATCTAAAGTAAAGTTCTGCAGATTGAAAATCCTTATATTTTTACTGGAAAGCTTAATCCATTTACAATTAAGGTAGTTAAGCAAATAATAATAATAATAATGATAGGAAAAAAACTTACTTTTGCAAATCTGCTATTTGTTTCATTATATTTCACAGATCTGTTGTCCTTTTTCTCCATTACTGCATTTCTTGAGTTTAGTTGATTTTTGGAGGTGGTGGGTAAGGACACATTTTGATTCTTTTCTCATTTCCTTTTGTATAATTCTATAAATATTTTCTTTGTAGTGTGTGATAGATAATTGTATGTATCACCTTGACTGGCTACAGTGTGCTAAATGTTTGGTTAAACATTATTCTTTGCATGTTAGGGTGACTTGGATGAGACTAATATTTGAATTGGTACACAGGGTAGATTTTTCTCCCTAATTATAAGTAAACAGAAATTTACATGAATTTGATAAGTGATCTATTATTTATTGAATCTAAGAAGACATAATTCTTAGCAGGTGAAATAATTGGGCTTCTTAGCATTTTCTACTTCCTAATAGGTCTGTCATCAAATAAAATATATAAAATTTTAGAATTCCTCAGTAGTCATTATTAAGAGTTCACAGACTCCATAAGAAGGTCCACAGACCTTGATATTATCTTAAACAATACAAAATAATAAGGCTAAGTAAATTTTACACAATTATACTTTAATTTAGGAAATAAAATAAAAATTTAAATAACATAATGAATTCATAAGACTTTTACCAGAAGTGAAAGAGTTTTATTTATGTTTCAAATTATTCTGTTTCAAGTTATTCAAATGAATCACACTTCTTTCAGGAAATTAATGGTGCTGAAGTTTTCTGTGGATTGTGGTACATAAAATAATTTTCTTGAAGAGTTATGTGACATCATATTTTCTAATAAAACTTTTTCATGTGAAATTGACAGACCTGTAAAGTAATAATGTAAATTATCAAAATACTCCAAAGTAGACATTCACTGGGATCAGAATTAAATTTATGTGTAAAGGAAACCACAAAATGACTTACATTTTACCATACATCTTGAAGTATTCATTAGAATACATTTTCATACCTTTAATATTTGTTCCACATTATAGACACAATCATTTTGAAAATTGCCACTTTGAGTACTTTTTCATAATATGTATTTTATTAAATGTTAATATAATTGCCAAGTAAATGAACTAAACAAATTGTTCAGAGAAAAGAAGACATATTTGAGATTTTGTGGATACATTTCATTAAATTTTAAAGAAAGATGAAAATGTGCACATTTCTATGTTATTATAGGATTGAAAAATATGGATATGCATATCTTCTATTGCTAAAGGCTTTATTATGTATGCGCACTCCTATTTAGAAATAAAAATTATAGAATGAAATAAATTTAAAAAACTCATATCTCTTCCACACAGATTGTAAGAGGCATGGTTGGGAGCAAATAAAGTATATGTATACACACACAAACACATAAATTACTCTAAGAATCAGAAATTTTATTAATTATTTATTTTCTACCTAAGACTAGAAGAGCAATTGCCATTTTTTAAAATTTAACAATAAGTCAGTATTTAAATAGTCAGAGATGATACCCCGTAAAGATTATTCTCCTTTTTTTCATGCACTTAAAACAAAATTATAACCAGAGTAAGCAACATTAATCTCTCTGGAAAGGCAATTCTCAGTATAGATTGAACAATATTATATGTTTAACATATGTATTCTGGGTATTCTAACGTAAATAATATTGATAAAATACTTTCAAGGAGGAAAGGGGAACATGAACAAGTTTAAGGGGATGTATAAAAATTATCTTTAAATAGTCTTATTGTTAAATGTGATGACTACTATGCATGTGTTCAATAAAATAAGATAAAAATATGCATTTTAATTAAGTACAAATTTCTAGAACTTTATAATACCTAAAACACGGAATAAAAGAGGCAATAGTGTCTAGGCATCTTTGTCTTGTTACAATCACGAAGGAAATTTTTCAACTTTTCACCATTTAAGATAATGTTATCTGTTAGTTTTCCATAAATGCCCTTCAGCAGGTTGGTTAAGTTCCCTTTTACTCCTAGTTTAATGGATTTTTTTTTTAATGAAAGAGTGTTAGATTTTGTAAAGTGCTTTTTCTACATTAAGGTGCTCCATTTTCCATCTGAATAATATTTAGGTAATATATTTTACTGAATTGTCTCTGTGCCTGGCACAGTGGCACACACCTGTAATCCCAGCAGCTCAGGAGACTGAGGCAAGAGGATTGCAAGTTCAAATCCAGCCTCAGAAATTTAGTGAGATCTTAAGCAACTTAGCAAGAATTTGACCCTGTGTCAAAAATTTAAAAATTTAAAAAAGCAGGTGGGGAGCTGGGGATGAGGCTCAGTGGTTAAATTCTCCTGGGTTCAATCCTGGACTTGGTGGTAAATGCCTATAATCCCAGAAGCTCAATAGGATTTTGAGTTCAAAGCCAGCCTCAGCAAAAGTGAGGATCTAAGCAACTCAGTGAGACCCTGCCTCTAGGAAAAAAGAAAAAACCAAAAAACAAAAACAAAAAACAAATACAAAGTAGGGCTGGCAATGTGGCACAATGGTCAAATGCCCCTGAGTTTAATCCCTGGTACTCCCTCCCCCCCCAAAAAAAAGAACAAAGAATGAAACAATGAAGGAAGAAGGAAAAAAAGAAATTTCCTCTGTTCAGTTAGCTTAATGGTGATCTAATGATTGAATAGAGTCCTTAAATGCCTAGAACCAATAAGTGCCTTCAACTTTTCCAAGGAGCTTGTTTGTACCTGTTGGAGCATGCCCTTAACACTCAGCCAGGCAGTTTTCAAGTCTGCCTTAGCCTTTGCTTCCTTTTTGTGCCATCTCAAGTTTCTCATATGTGAAAGTTTAGGGACTTCTCTGTCTTTCTAGAGTATACTCACAGTCCTCAATATTTTATAGTCCTCCATAAGTGTGTGGCCTTCTGGAGAGGATAATGTTAAAGCTTTTCAAAGCCCCCTTTTCCTCTTTAAGCCTTGTAACCTACTGATTCTTGCAAATTTACCCACATTTAAAAAAAATCCTTAAATTATTTTGATATATGCTCTTAGGGTAAATGGTATTTGCACTGGTGAGCTCAGAGCAAGGTCAACTAAAATAGCCTTGCAAAGTGAAGTTTTCCAAGGAAACACTGGTTAACTCAAGTAATGATGTTTTTTGGTTCCAGGACTTTTAAAGTTTTCTTCCTTTTTCTGTTTCATTCAATGATTGGCAAAATACTATTCTTACAACAATTATGGGCTGTTGGTCTTCAAGACTATTGTAGAGCTTGGTAGTTTGTCCATGGATTAGGACATATTAAGATATCAGCAGAGATCCTTGTTCTTATGTAGGTTATTAAGTTTTTTGTTTGTTTCGTTTTCTTGAGTAGTGCTCCTTGGGTAGCTGAAAATCTTTGATTAATCTCTAGATAGCTTATAAAGGGAATTTTTGACAATACTTGGTAGTGTTCTCTTTGCTTCTTTGGAGAAGTTTCAAAGATTTTTTAAAAATGTGCTAACATCAATAATACACAGTAATCCTAAATGAAGGATACAGTGCATAAATAAATCTTCTAAAGCTATGTTTACCTATCATCTGTCAAGTATTACTGTGCATTTGGATCTAATGACTGACTGAGATCATTTCACTTATGTTCTATGAGCTGTTTACTTGTCCATATATAATAAGTAAAAGTGAATGAATAGATAAATTAGTTTCATTAACAAAATAATCCTAAACAAATAAATGATGCAGATTATTCATAAATTTCATCTCATGACAAATAATAGATTCTGTTCAGATAATTTCATTGCATATATGATTTTTTCATTAATTTCCTGGAGTCAATTGAAAGTTTTAGAAATTCATTTTCTTTATTTTTTCCTTTGAAGGGTAAAAATTTTATTTTTGAGGAATTCATATGCACATTTTCAAAGAGAGTCACATAAGAAAGCAAAAATGTTATCCTCCCCTCATCCTAGAAATAAATAAGAAGGGCATAAACTTTCTTTTTAAATCATGACACTTGTAAGTTTAGCACCAGCATCCAAAATGAACAAAAAAGGAAAAGAAAAAAAAAAAAAAAGCATTTACTATATATTTCAGATTTCTTTGGTTGGGGTTCTCCCCATGTGGTATTAATATTTTTTCTTTCAATTCATATTACCAAAACAGTAAAAATCAGGAAAAAAATATAAACCTAGTGGTTGCTGAAACTGAGGAGGTTGCTCTCTCGTACTCTGTGCAGACATTCCCGGAATGGCAGCTTGCTGGAAAAATATGCTGACATTTTCATTTCGCAGTTGTTAGTTTCTCAAAGAATAACAGTAAACATTCTAATGTCCAAATCTTGGTTAGTCTTCCACTTTATTGCTTAGATGTTTCTTTGGTGTTGGTAAGGTCGTGGGTGTGCTTTTTGCTTTACTTTTGAATGGTCATTAATTCTTTAGGTCACCCTGCTGGTGGTGAAGGTGCCTGGGGAGCTGGGTGTCACTCAGCACTGCTCTGCTCGGTGGCTGGAGCAGGATTCTCAGTTGGTGCTTCACCTGCCTTGGTCTCTTTGCCGTCTTGTGAAGGAGCATTTGGAGGACGGGGGCGACACCGATAGTTATAGCGACGCCGGTATCCACGGCGAGCAGATGGCTGGTTTGGACCATTGGCTGCTTGTTGATTCTCTTTATCTTCAGCCTCTCCAACAGCTGGGGCAGGTCGTGGGCGAGGAGGTCCCCTACAGCACCTTGGGCGATAAGTTGGATTTCTATGAACTGGTCCCGGAAGCTGTGCTCCCTCGGGGACTCCATCCTTCATCTCTCCAATCTCACCAGCCTGCATTCTGTTGGGACGGTCAAAGGTCTGTCCCACGTGGTAAGGCGGGAACCGCCGCTGCCAGTACTGAGGGCGATACTGGGGGCGGCGCAGCTGACTCCGGGCCCCAGAGAACTGCCCGTCAGTGGCAGGGGGGTCAAATCCTTCACTGCTGCCGCTCCCTTTCTCCTCCTCCTCCCCAGCGTAATTACGGGGAGGTCCACGGCGTCTGCCTTAGTAGCCACGTCTATAACGGCGGCGATCAGCAGCATATCGACTCCCTTCCACAGGAACTCCATCTGGGCCAGTCACATTGGCTGCTTCAGCACCCTTTTCTCCTTCAACCACATCAAACTCTACAGTTTCTCCATCTCCTACACTACGCAGATATTTCCGTGGGTTATTCTTCTTGATGGCAGTCTGATGTACAAATACATCTTCTTTGGTGTCATTTCGATTTATAAATCCATATCCATTTCTGACGTTGAACCATTTGACAGTGCCAAGGACTTTGGTGGCGAGAACATTTTTCTCCGCGTCTTCCCTGCCAGCGGTGGCTGAAGGGGCGGGGGCCGCGGTGCCCGTGGCTGCCGGGGCCGCGTCCCCACCGGGGTTTCCTGCGACGAGGGGGGCGGGCGCGGGAGCCACGGCCTGGGGCGCACCGCTGTCCACAGGGCTCTTGGGCGCGAGGTCCTGGGGCGCCGCGGCGGCCGCCTCCGCTGGAGCCTGCGGGAGGGTGGTGTGGTGGTGCTGGTGGCCTCGCCCGCCTCGCTCATGCCGCCTCCTCTGCTCTCACTCGGGCACCTCGGTGGCGGTTGGTCGGCGGTTGGCGCGGCTAGTGGTCGCGACGGCCGGGCTCGCTCTCAGGGAGGCCGGTGCGGATCTCGCGGCGCAGGAGGCTGTGGCCGAGGGGACGTCTCGCAGCGGAGGCGGCTCGAGCTCTCCGGCTGCGCGCTCGCGCTTGGGCTCCTCGCTGGATCTTACTCTAAAAATTTATTTTCTAGAAGGTAACATAGTGGACATATGATCAATTTGTGAGGTCAATTCAATGGTTTAAAATTTAAAATGTTTGCAGAAATAATCAGAAACAACTTTGATATATTTCAGCACAATGGTGAAAATAAGTTCTTACTAAATTAATATATTTTGAATTGATTATGATACAGATATAATTTATTGCATCCAAATTATGATTCTCCACCTGTATAAAGTGAATTTGTTATGAAGATGTAAAATATATATTGTGTATATACAGACACAGAATGAGTGAATACCAGTTGTTTTGTGACAAAAGTACTATGAAAGATATGTGTGTGTATTCTTTTTTCTTTATTTGTATATTTATTTTCATAACTGTCATAATATTATACAGATTGAACATATTCAGACTGTGGCTCAGTGGTAGAGTACTTCCCTAGCATGTGTGAGGCGCTGAATTTAGTCTCAAAATACTGAAATAAAAATTGTACATATTAATGGAGTTCCAAAATAATGCTTTAGACTCACATTTAAATAAAGAAAATTTAAAATTCTAAACATTCTGTTTAGAACTAAAATAAAATGGTTGTCTCTTACTTATTATCTTATCATGCCACTGTACCACACAATATTCTTCCTATGACAAAAAAGTAGTAGCTAAAAATTAAATAAGAATCTTTATAAGTAAATAACTTCACTTCAATATTGTGTGACTTATTTTGGCTTCAATCTCAGCAGAAAAAAAAATATTTTCTTCAATCAACAATTAAACAACTATTTATTTAAATACTATCTGTCAAGCATATTCTGGGAACAAGATGGTAAAAACAGACAAAAATTCCTGTCCCTGGGGAGGTTGTATTCATTCTATAGAAATAAACAATTAGCACAGTAAGTAAATATTGTAGAATATCAAAAGTGAAACAGGGAAATTAGGAGTGTTAGCTTAGGTATAATACCTTGGCAATTAAAATAGAGTAAAGCTTGAAAAAATAGAGTGAGAGTACCAGGAGCTATGAAAGAGTGGGTTGACTAACGACTAGAGAACAGAAGAAAGAATAAATAAGGTGTTTTCAAAGAAAATAAGGAGAAAAGTATAGCAGTCTTAGAGTGACCAAATGTAGTAAGAGATGAAGTTTGACATAGCATAATGAAGAAACCAGTTGTAAAGCCAATGCCGAAAAGCAGGCGAAAGACAGTGACAGTTTGAACCAAGATGGTGGAAATTGAGATATAAAAAGTGGATCAATTTGGTGTAAGTTTCCGTTATTTATCTACATAAATATATCAATGATGTCAGAGTCTAGCAGTCAGAAGGGAGTACTAATTTTAGATATATCTTTGGAATTTAGGAGTATTTAAGTAGTATGTAAAATCATGAGAGTGGATGAGATCACCTAGGACAGACAGAGAAAATTTAGAAGCTATAAAAGAAAATTTGAAAGGCAAATGAGACGAGGCCAGTGGTAGAGAAGAAAAACAAAGATCATGACTCTTGGCATCCAAGTAAAGAAAGCATTTCCAGAGAGGAGGGACTCTATGCATCAATTATTGTGAAGATCTATAGTACAACAGTATCACAGTGACCATCTGTCTCCTAAGTACACAAGTGAGGTATCTATAGTTACTCTTCTATTGAAAGATGTGACATGTACTAGCCCTTTGATAGCGATGTGTTTAAATAAAACTTTGTTAAAAATTTGTTAAGAGTTAAAAAAAAACTTATTATTGTAAAAAAAAGATGATTATTTTCACCAGCATCATTATGAATGCATGTTAATTATCTTTTAAAATAGTTACTAATATGATGATCCAATAGATAGATAGATAGATAGATAAGAGAGATAACATTTAGTACCTGATTTATTTTGGTATCTGTTGAATAAGTTGAATCCAAAAGTTTGAATCTCTGTAAAAGATAATAAACCATAGTAGATTCTGAGTTCTTCCAAGGGAAATAAACTGATGAAGAATATAAAATAATGTCACTACATTTACCTTTAAGCATTGCACAGTGAAGAACTATGCTAACAACTACTAAGAGAGAAAAAAATCTGTTCTGAAAAGGACTGCTAAATTATTTCCTTCTGGTCAAGAAAATTGCCAGTTATGCAGTTTGACACAGTTCATAAAGATTTGCAGCAGAATGGTTTGCTTTCTCTCCTTTTGTTTATGCCATTTGAATTGGCCTTTGAGAAAATCAGGATGTAGTGAATTGAAGACAGCTTTCCTTATCTCCAAGTTTTCCTTAAAAAAGACAGAGCTCAATTAACATTTTATAACACAGGAATGTCTTTTTACTCCATAGAATGTTTAGTGTGTCTACAGTATGAGATAATAATCTACTGCATAGTACTTTTTGCTTTTTTGTTTGGGGGGGGAAACAATTAAGAAAGGATTTTTTTGAAATTTTCACTTTGTGACATTATAAGGCATAAAGGATTATGAGCAAGAGAAGAACCATGATGAATTTAGATTTATAATTTTAACCCAGAAAATAATGTAGGAGCCCCCCTAAACTGGTGTTAATTGTGACAGCTGAAAATTGTCATCTAAATTCAGTTTAGGCTGAGGTTGTAGCTCAATGGTAGAGCACTTGCCTCACATGTGAGGCAATGGGTTTAATTCTCAGAACCACATATAAATAAATTAATAAATAAAATAAATTTCCATCAACAATTCAAAAACTATTTAAAAATAAATAAATTTAAGTTTACAAGTAAACTAACTCCCTTCCTTCTCTCCCTTTCTTACCCCTTTCTTACCTCCTTCTTTCCTTCCATGTTTCTTTATTAAAAATAAGAGTGCAAATACAAAATCCTTCTTCCCTTTCTTACAAAGATAGTATATTTTATTCATTGTATACAATTTTTAACAAACAATGCATTGTGAATCTTTACACTCAGTACATAGATTGTTTCCTGACATTTACGTTATATTTTTAATTCAAATGTATTATAATAATTACAAAACTACACAAGTGAAAATATATAAGTGATTGCTTAATGATGACCAAGTTATATAACAAGCATCAGATCAAGAAACAGGAACTTTCAGCTTTTCATAGTCCTTCCCACCATTCCAGTGAAGATAATGCCCACAGTAGACTAAGTACTATTCTGACCTCTGCCACTGTCAATTAATCTTCCTCGTTTTCATCTCTGTACAGAAGAGATTATATATTTTCTGTATTATTATTTTCTCAAAAAAATTTGGAGCATTCATCCATTTCATTTTTTGGTTCATGCACATCTATCACTGTTATTAATGTATGAATAGTTCATAACATATTGGTCCAAACTAATTTGGCTAATGTACAGTGTTTAGCTATTATGAAAATTGTCTTTAAAGTCCCTGCATGCTTGTTAGTGAATATAGGCAAATACTTCTGTTGGCTATATAACTAGAGGTGATATGGCTAGATTATAGGGTATGTATATGCTTGATTGTAATAAATATTGCCAATTATTTATATTAATTTATATTCTCATTTATATTATATGAGAATTACAGTCACACCTTTATCTTCAACAACACTTGGTGTTATCTGTTTTGAAAAATATTTATTCTTTTGGATGAATAGTGGTGTAGCATTGTGAGTTAACTTTGTGACAAATAAGATTTCAATTATTTTTATAATCCACTTGTTCATTTCCTTTGTGAAGTGTCTACTTAAGTCCTTTGCCACTTTCTATAGAGCAGTTTTCTATTTCTTATTGACTTTTTGGAGTTAATTACATAGTCTGGATATAAGACTTTGGTTGGATATGTGTATTGTAAATTTTGGCTCTAAACCTTAAGAGTTATATTTCTGCTCTTTTAATGTTATCTCTTTTTTTGACACAATACCTTTATTTTATTAATTTTTATGCAGTGCAGAGGATCAAACCAGTGCCTCACATGTGCTAGGCAAGAGCTCTACCAATGAGCCACAATCCCAGCCCCACAGTCCCTTTTTTGATGGATTTTCTCTTTTTATTGGTTGCTCAAACATTACAATGATCTTGACATATCATATTTCATACATGTGATTCAAGTGGGTTATGAATTCTTATTTTTACCACGTGAACAGGTTGCAGGATCACGTTGGTTATACATCCACATTTATACATCCTTCCATACTAGTGTCTGTAGTATTCTGCTGCCTTTCCTATCCCCTTCTCTCTACCCCATCTACTGTAATTCATTTCTCTCTCTTTTTTT